ACGGGATTCTTTCCCATCATTTGAGAGAGTTCTTTTAGACCATTATATGTCCTGTCAGGGTGAACAGTGATGACCGCATGCAAACAACAAAACTACATCCCAAATACTACACTACCCGGACCGGCAGTGATCACAATCCACAGCCCAATTCCAGAGATGCTGAAACATGGAAAAATGTGTGCCTTAGAATCAGTGACAGACAATAGTGTGTAAACATGTCTGACTCTGTTGAGATGATTGACACATTTTATACTTATAAAATCCACAGCTATTTTCTACGCGTAGTGAAGGGTATAGATGAATCCTGCCATTCACATCTGCTACACCATCTCCTGCTGATACATGGCCATTAGAAAATCCCCGTGTACGAGACAAATCAAAACGCATTTTCAAATGAAGTGCGGTCCGTAAAATCTAAGGTTTACATCCTAGACTCCTACATGAGACACGCACATGCCTCAAACAGATGTGGACACCGACCCCAAAAACCCACGTTCCTTACATGGCATCTCTCTAGCCTCCACCTCTGCACACACACTCTATATAAGAGCAAAGTTGATTCCAAACAATTCTGAGCTTTCTCCAAATATTTTTGGTTTCCACCTTATGTACAAGCCACATTGGGAACCAAGGTGTAACACAGGTGAGCTTGCCCAAAGTTCTAAACGTGTTGAGACAAAGTCCAGAGAGAGCCCTGCAGCGTAGAAAGTTCAGCCACTGTGTCAATCAGACATGACACAGGCACCCCAGGTGCAAAAGACTGTCTCCAGGTGAAATATGATTGCAACTTTAGGGAGTGATTAGGCTTCTGAATATTTCCAGAGGAAAACAACTTTTGTTGTATGTTTAGGACCAAGAAAACGCTTTCATGTTCTAAGCTGCTAGTGAAGTCACCTGGCCAGATCATCATATAGAAATAACACTTGGTTTTAAATACCTCTTTAACTGACAACACTCAAAAATGAGAATACCCAGCGTTGGTTATGAGGCTATTAAATCGACGCCAGCAAATGTGGATGCTGGCCATAAATTGACAAAGCACTGATTAAAAACCCTTTGGAAACATAATGTAACAACATGTTTCTGGAGCCTTAGAAAGTGTTCAACCCCTTTGATCCAATAATCTCACTCCTTGTACCTCACTTTAAGGAATTCATTGAAATGAAGCGAAATGCTTTCTGTATAAAATTGTGAAGCAACTTATTTATAAAGATGGGAAACTGAAAACAACCTACATTTCTAACAGTAAGAAAATATTTAAGTAAATTGTGATAGCTCCATTTGATGGACTATTATACCCCCACTAAAATGTTAATTTTGAAGACATTGCCACAACATATGATGCTAAGAGAAAAAGCAGAAGTCGTTTTCTTTGTGGTAGATGTACACTTATAAAAACGTCTAGACGTGGATAAGGATAGTAGGGGGGAAAACAACTTAAAAGCAATTCTGCCATGAATCTGGAACGGTAGATGACTTTGTTTTCATTCCAAGGTCTTGTATTATGATATGACTGCTCAACAAATGTTTTGGGAAGCTGCTATCTGAGATGGTCATTATAAACGCTCAAGTGTGGTCAGAATGTATTGTTATTATCTTCCTATTCGTGTTATTATGAAGCCGGATCTCTGTGCTAGCCTCATTCCACATGTTCATACTCACCTAAGAGATGAACTGTCCTGTAGGCCCCCAGAGGCAGCCCAGGGGACACAGCTGGGTCCCAGATTCTGGAGTTAAACAGAGCTGGGTGTGAGTCCCAGCTCATCCACACACAGTCCGTGGGATGCTGGGAGGTTTTCCTGAGGTCCTCAGTCACCTTTCTAGTAAAATGCAGATTCTGAGACCTCCCCAGCTGGGCTGTGAAAACGATTTCCAGTTAGGTATGAAAAGCAGCCCATGCAACGCATCAGTAAGTTACATTTGTTAATATTATCTGGAATGCAGGTAAAATTTTCGCGGTCCAAATGCAGATGGTCAAGGTCCGATTGTGCAATGGCAAATTTTCGGCTATGGTGTAGCATTAAATGACTCACAAACAAGACTTGTTCTGGTGGGGTAGGTAGGTGTCTGCACCTTCAACAAGCTGTCGACTCTGGTTTGGGAAGGCGTATTTGTCCCCTGGACCATGTCACTCCCCTGTTTGAAATCCTTCAGTGACTTCAGAATGCCTACACAATCAAGTCCAAACACACGGCCAGGTACTGAGGGTTCATTTCCTGTGCCTTCCAGCCTCACGCTCCACGCTGCAAGAGTACTAAGCCCCCTCCAATCTCCACAATGAGCCAAGAGTACTCTTTAGCATCTGCCTTTGTGCTTTCTGTTCCCTCTTTCTGAAACACCCTTCCCCCCTCTACCAACTCCTCCTTCCCTGGTAACTCTGACCACCTCTGCAAGACTCCAGTCTAAGAGGGCGTCTTCTCCCCGCCCCCTCCCTGCTCCAGAGTGAGGGACCCTCCTCTCGGAGAGCACAGTCCCCTGAGCTTGCTGCACTGTCCTGGCTATTTAATTGCTCCAGGAGCTTCCTGAGAATTAGGACTTTGCCTTCACCTTCTCCATCCTCCTGGAGCCCAGCACGGGAGTGGGTGCGGAAAAGATGACCAGTAAAATGCCCATGAAATGACTACATCGACGAGTGGCAAATAACCATGTACCTGCACAGAGACATAACTGAGAAATGTGCTGGCAAAATCAAGCAAGTTAATGTTTCACTGGGCTGGACACCGGCACAAGGAGGCGAGTCCTAACCTTGTATTTCAACCAGCCCCGAAACAGGCAGGTGACCTTGGGCCTGACCCCCTTTTGGAATGAGGAACAACAGCAGGAAAATCAAACGGTTGGCGATGCCAGCTGTATCTATTTTGCCAATACATATTTGAAAGCACATTTTCTGGGATAAAGGATAGAGATGATTGTAAATAGAAGGGCAGTGCATTACCTCTGCAAATAAAGAGAAAAGATGCTAAGAGAATGACCTAAGGCATGACCTTTGACCCAGGGTGGAACCATGAACCCCTAAAACGAGGGGTGAGGTGTGAGTTGGTGCTTTCTTCTGAGAAAGGAGTCCATGGCTTTCAGCAAGGGATCCTGTTATGAGCTGAGCTATATCCCCCCAAACTTCCTGTTGAAGCTCCAACCCCCAATGTATTTGGAGACAGGGCTTCAAGGAGACACTTAATGTTAAATGAGGCATAAAGGTGAGCCTGAATCTGATAGGACTGGTGTCCTTATAAAAAGAAGAACAGCCACCCAAGATCTGTGTCGCCTCAAGCTTACGGAGAAGATGCCACGTGAGGACACAGTGAGAAGGTGGCCATTTGCAAGCCAGGAAGAAAGGGCTCACCAGAAACCAACCTTGATGGCACCTTGATCTTGGGCTTCCAGCCTCCAGAACAGTGAGAAAAAAATTTCTGTTGTTCAACCCACCACCACCAACAAATTCCACTGTGTAAAACTATCTGTGGTATCTTGTTAATGGCAGCCTGAGCAGACTAATACTGATCCCTTCCCAAAAACTGATAGGAAAACTCTGACTTGTTGAGGATAGCACATTTGGGGCCCAAGTCATCCTCTCCATTTGTCAATGAATGCGTGTATCTTCTCAGAGGGTCTGAGCAGCTCTGCATTGTCATCTCGCAGGACAGAAGTGCTCCAAACGGGACAGGCTTGCCCCTATCCAGCTATCCCATAGCAGAGCAGACCTTCAAATACTGATATCAGTGTCCAGATCGGACTTCTGTGAGAAGTTCAGGGTCAACGTGAACCCAGCTGAGGACGAGATCAGTTACGCGGTGTCCAGACTCTTCCTGGGACACACACCAGCTTCCATCCCCTCCCTGCCTACCTCGCCTCTGTCCGTTCCTGGCTCCCCACAAAAAGCCACCGTGGGCCTCCGTGGGTCCTCAAGCTCCCTGCACTGGCCCCATGCACTGCCCTTATCACCGCGGGTGGCCACTGATTATTCAGGGCCACTAGACGGAACTCCTTCACGAGGACCAAACGGGCCTGGCTCATGTGGGTTACATTGCCTGTATTCAAGCATCCTTCTGAAAGAAGCTGTCCAGCCCAGGACATGCCTACCACCCTCAGCCCTGGTGGTTCTGGAAGCTACGCTCTGGGCACACGAGCCCATGCCTGGTGGTGATGAGAAGCACAGACTGCCCAGCCTCAGCGCCAGCTCTGCCTCTTGTGAGCTGTGACCAGGACACATCCCTTTAACTATAAAACGGAGCGAGAAAGGTACACAACTCCCAGGGTTGCTGTGAGCACAGATAAAGCCCTAGCACGAGGCCTGGTACATAGTGTGAGCTCAGTAGGTTTGGCTCTTCTTTGGGGCATAATGGAGACCACTGCAGCAGGAAACCCAGCTGTCAGACGCCAAGTGAGCCGATAACCAACAGCACGGAAAGACCTCTGCACTGATTGCATTCAGAAGGCACTTTTCACATGGTTACCAGCGGTGAAGGTTCAAAACAACCCCACAGGATTAGCAGGTGGTATAATTCTCATCTCACTGATGAGGTAACAAAGGTTTCAGAGAGGTTAAGTAGGTTGCCCACGACACACAGCGATGGAAATGGGGTCCCGCTAGTCCGAGGACCAAGCTCCAGCGACCTGAGCCGCGCGGACCAGCCCCGGGAGCTTACATGAGGCTGCACAGCCTGCACCAGCAGCCGTCCAAAAGCGGGACGTCTAGTTCCACCAAGAAAAGTTTCCCTCCGCTGTCCCGGGCGGGCGAGGCGGGCGGCGTGGAAGCTGCCACGCCCGAGAGCAGCCGCGTCGCGGACCCACGCGCGCAGGCCGCCTCCTCCAGCCTCGGGCTCTGACGGGGACCCGGCCACCCGGAGCCAGAGCCGGACCCGCAGCCGGACCGGCCGCCGAGGCCGCTCCTCCCGTGCGCTCCGTGGGGAAGGCCCAGGCCGCCCGCTCGGGGGCCGGGCGCGCGGGGGCTGGGAGCGGGGAGCAGGGGCCCGGCCGGCGCCCGCGCGCGGCGCCCCTCTTACCTTCCTCGTTCTCGTCAAACGCGGCGGGCTTGTGGGAGTGGCTCCCGCCCATATTC